GCACCGCTCAGGTTGACGCTGTCGGTAATACCATCAACAGCCTTGGTAAGACCAGCAACAGGGGCGACGTTGAGCTGACGCTTGCTGTTGACGTTGGTGTTAAGGCCATTGACGGCACCGTTCAGATTGACGCTGTTGGTGACACCGTCAACAGTCTTGGTAAGACCAGCGACAGGGGCGATGTTGAGCTGACGCCTGGCGTTTCCAACGACCCTGATCTTGGTGGCATCGCCAACGATGTCGGTAACGGGCTTGGTGAGGTCGGTAACGGGCCTGGTAAGGCCGTTGACAACCTCGAGCTGGCGCTTCTCGTTCAAGATGCCAGTGACGCCTTTGAGGCCGGCATCGTCGGAGACAACACCGGTGACGGGGTCAACAGTCTTGCCGACGGTGCTGGTAAGGGATCCAACAGTGCCAGTGGCGGTACCGACCAGGTTGTTGAGACCAAGCTGAGGAGTAGGGGCCGAGAAGACGGATGCGGAGAACGCAAAGATGGAAACGGCGACGTAGGAACGCATGTTGATGGTGGGTCGGATGTATTAAAGAATTAAGTGGTATATAATAGTAAAACGAATGAGTGACAGTGATGGGAAGAGAGAGCGACTGTGATGCGTTGGATGATGGTCTTGGTTACACAGGCTGGGGTGTGTGATTTATATGCGCTGACGGTTTCCTCGAAGACGTGTGTTCCGATTCAGAGGCTCGTCGATCCTCCTCTCACCGTGCCCGTGAGTGCGTTGCTGTCCCTGTCCAGCGTAGTAGATCAGAGCCTAGTTTGATTTGACTTGGTGATGGTGGACAAGACTGGCAGCACGCTGTTGCATGTCTAGTCTAGGCAGAAAGCTGCGACGATCTTCATTACCAGACTCCCGTCTTTATGACGGCCCAATCAAAAACAGCGGTGCAGGACGCTGGGGAGGTTAGTTGGGCTTAGTGGGTGAGGGAGCCACACGGGCTGTGGGGTACAGAAGCCATGAGTCGTGCATAGAGCAAGCAAGACTTCCTTGTCCAGCACGACTACATAGCGGGACCTTGCGGTCAGTTTCGGCCGTCAAGCTTTCCAAGGCACTTGGTTTAGAGTTTCAGAAAGTTTAGTTGCCGCTACATGTTGTCAGACTGGTGGGCGATTGCACTCAAGTGGTAGTCGAACATGGGAAGATTGAAGAATGAAGTTAGCGTAGTATGACGTCGGCCAAATTGTGTTTCAACTGTGCGAGGAGCGAAGAGCCGTGCAGGGGTTAAGGCGTAGGGGTATAACGTGCCCATGCAGGGACAGAACAGGAGCGTGTTGTTTTTCCTGTTGCTTATCCAAGCGGGCGAACGACGGTCCCCCCTGAAGATCTAGGGTGGCATATGGAAAAGTAGTACTACGGTGTCCGCGCTAAGTGTCGATCATCCGCTTCCGGCAGCGTGCCTCAATCTAAGCACATCGGCAGCGCCTGTCTAGTAGCCTCTCTTTGCGCCAGCCAAGTCATACTACCAGTTTCCCTGGCGGGCCCTATCTGATCGCCGTTTTCCAGCAGAGCCGCGAGTCGCTAGCGTGTTGGTCGTCAATCTACCGTCCAACTGTCGTTGGCTGCAACCTGGAGAGAGATGTACGGAAAGGGGATGGGGAAAAGGGAGAGAGACCTGGTCAACGCAGTGAGATTTGGCCGAATACTTACTAGCCACGTGGGGAATGCGATCAACAGCGACCTTCACCAAAACGCACTCCCCCACTGTTTCCGCCATTGTCATGAGCACCACGCTGAGACATGCTGAGGAAGTTGCCGACGGGAGACTCTCTTCCGCACAGAATATTGCTGGTGAGACAAGCCACTGCACAACTCTGTACTATCGAATCCTCGTTCTCGGTGTTGGCCTCATCTTGGCCCTGTCACGTGAAGAGGCCATTCATTGCTTCAACTCGTCGCTATAGTCCTGGTCAAACAACAGCTCATGTTGCTCAGCCCTCGAGAACTACCACCACGCTACCTTGCAACTGAGACCGCTACCAAGGCACTACCTGGGAATTGAGTTTTGGTGACCATCGTGACAGCATGGTGCGACCTAACGTGGCGCAAGATAGCGGAAAGTTTGGCGAAGCGGGACGCGCTGATAGCGAGAACCGGCGTCCTACGTAGCATTCTTGCATTCTTCTCCAGGGCGCTTGTTCAAGCACGAAGATGGATTCATCACTGCCTGTTCGGGCTGCGCTGCGCAAATGAGAGTGTGCCCACCCGCTGCTCGTTGCGCGGCCCCTGCAAAATCACCTTCTCCACTTCCACGCGCATGAATTCTGGGGCTGCATCCCCTTTTTGCTTCACCTCTTCACTCGATCCAGACAACCCTATTCAGCCCTGCTTTCGTATCCCTATATATGATGCAAAAGGTAGGGGGAAAATCACTTTGCTTATTATAAATACAAGCAAATCTAGATCCATACTCCTTAGTTGCAAAAACAGCCTGAGCAAAATCCATTATCAACTTTTCCAAGCCCACTAGGGCGAGATCTACATAATTACAAAGTGGAAACAGAAATGGCGTAATATCGTTACATTCATTCCGAGTCAGTCACGCAGCCCTGACTGGCATCCTTTACAAAACGCGCGTACTTGAAGAGCGTACCCTTCTGGTACTTGAGCGCAGGCGCGGTCCACTTCTTCCTCCTCTCCGCCAGCTCCTCTTCGCTGACTGAAATATTCAGCTCATTCGATTCAGAATCAATCGTGATTTCGTCACCATCCTGCACAAGGCCAATAGGACCTCCCTCTTGCGCCTCGGGCACAATATGGCCAATCAAGAAGCCGTGACTGCCACCGCTGAAGCGACCATCTGTGATGAGTGCAACATCCTTTCCAAGCCCAGCACCCATGATGGCAGAGCTGGGTTTCAACATCTCTGGCATACCAGGGCCGCCCTTGGGTCCTTCATAGCGGATCACAACAACAGTCTTCTCGCCCTTTTTGATTTCTCCGCGCTCAAGAGCGGTGATGAAGTCGTCTTCGGCATCGTAGCATTTTGCCTTTCCAGTGAACTGGGTGCCCTCCTTACCAGTGATTTTGCCTACACAACCACCAGGAGCAAGGGTACCCCTCAGAATCTGCAGGTGACCAGTCGACTTCAAGGGCTCGCTAAGTGGCCTGATGATCTTCTGCTCAGCAGGGAAGTCCTTGACAGTCTCAAGGTTCTCCTTCAACTTCTTGCCAGTGACCGTCATCTGGTTACCGTCAAGAAGGCCCTCCTTCAACAGAAACTTGAGAAGTGCTGGCGTGCCACCAATATCGTGAATGTCGGCCATGACGTACTTGCCAGAAGGCTTCAAATCGGCCAACAATGGAATGCGGTCGCTGACGCTCTGGAAGTCGTCAATGGTGAGCTTGAGGCCAACCGAGTCGGCAATGGCGATCAAGTGAAGAACAGCGTTGGTTGAGCCACCAGTGATGCTGATGACAACCATGGCGTTCTCCAGCGCCTGGCGGGTGATGATGTCGCTCGGTCGGATATCTTCCTTAAGAAGATTCTTAATGGCGCCACCTGCCGCTAGACACTCGAGCATCTTAGCCTTGGAGTTGGCGGGGTTGGACGAGGAGCCTGGCAGCGACATGCCCATGGTCTCAATCGCAGTAGCCATTGTGTTTGCCGTGTACATGCCTCCGCACGCACCCTGCCCATTGCACGCATGCCTGATAATGTCAAAGCGCTGGTCCTCGGTGATCTCGCCGGTGATGAATTGACCGTACGCCTGGAAAGCGGAGACGATATCAATTTGTTGGTTTTCGAGTGTCTTTGCGCAGCCGGGCTGGATCGTTCCGCCATAGACCATGAGCGAAGGCCTGTTGACACGACCCATGGCCATGATGACACCCGGCATGTTCTTGTCGCAGCCGGGAATGGAGATGTTTGCATCGTACCACTGACCGCCCATGACTGTCTCGATAGAGTCTGCAATAATCTCACGCGACTGCAGCGAGTAGCGCATGCCTTTTGTGCCCATGGAAATGCCATCACTGACTCCAATGGTGTTGAACTGCATGCCCAACAGCCCCGCACGCTCTACGCCCTCCTTGACCTTGTTGTTCAGGTCCATCAGGTGCATGTTGCAAGGATTGCCCGAGTACCACACAGATGAGATACCGACCTGGGCCTTGTTCATGTCCTCCTCGCTCATGCCCGTGGCGTACAGCATGGCCTGCGAGGCGCCCTGCGACTTGGGCTGCGTAATGTGCTTGCTGACTGAATTGAGCTCATTGTCGGCTTTGGCGGTGCGGAGTGCGGAGCTGGAGAGGGCACGTCTGGGAGGCGTCAGTATCAGTGTAGCAATGTCAATTGCAGTGGAAAACATACGCTGCGTGCCATTGCGGCCGCGGTGAGCACCTCGCGCGCGCGAGAAGACCTCCAAAGCGTGCGAGAGACATTATGGCTGGCGGTTCACTTCCCCAGAGTGTCGCGGCATCAATTTATCGATGCGAGCTCGGAGGACGCGGAGTCGGACGCCTCTCCGTGCGGGCGGGCAGCCAATGAGGGGCAACGTGATGATGCACCGCGCTTTGATCGTCGGTCATCCATCATCATCGTCGAGAGCTAGTATTTCATCATCCAGCTGCATTGTCTTGTACAATCATATTTGCCTACGAATTCGAACCAACGTGTGTCACGTTCTATCTCCTGTGAATGATACATCGTCACAGGACAGCCGTTTCAATTATGACTATTCATCGCCAGTTTACAACTCGTGACAGTGGCTCTGTCAATGATGCAGCAATTTACTCTGATCAAATCGACTGTACATTACTTATGTTCCTATGATTCTACTGTATATCATTGATACACACCACTTCCTTTCTCTATTCATTTGTGGCAAACAACTAGCCAGATGAAACACCTTTTGATCAACCACTTCATTCTTCTACATAGTTTTGCGCAGGCTGCAAGCAACATATACACGGGCTTCAACTATGGTGCATTTTGGAGCGTAGAGGCCAATGTGAAAAAGAAAGCCGATTTTCTCGACGGCTTCAACTTGGCCAAAAATCTGACAACCGACATACCATTCGACAGTGCGCGGCTGTTCACGTGCAAAACTGCTGGAACTGTAGACGAACCAACAGAAGCATTTGACGCCGCCGTGGAATCAAATACCAACCTCTTGTTGGGCTTCTGGATAACACCAGCACGAAGCGGGGACTCGCCTGACGAAAACATCAAGAATGAAATGGCTGCGCTGGAGAAGGGGTTCAAGAAGCATGGCCAAGCACTTTCAGACCTCATCATTGGACTCTCCGTAGGAAGCGAGGACATCTATCGCGCCGAGGAAGCTGGTGAGCTAGGCCTCACAGCAGAGGTTGTTGGGCAGACCATTGTCAAAGTCAAGGAGAGCATTGCTGCGTCCTCGTTTGCCCAATATATGAAAGACAAGCCCATCGGACATGTTGATACTGCCAAACATTGTGTCGTAGATAGTGCTGACTTTATCGGCATGACTGCTTACCCATACTGGAATAAAGATAGCATCGACACAGCAAGTGACAGCTTCCAATATTCCCTGGGAGAAGTCAAGCAGCGGGCAGGCAACAAGCCAGTCTGGATCGCAGAAATGGGCTGGCCATCAACCGATACGGAGCAACATGGTGCAGCAGTTGCAGGGATTGACGAACTACAAAAGTTCTGGACCGAAGTTGGGTGCGTCGTATTTGGCAAGTACACAACCTTTTGGTATGAGCTACTGAAAGACTCTACGCCTGACCAGAAAGCCGACTGGGGTTTGATCGATACGCTTTCGCGCAAGCCTCGCATCAAGGATCTCAGCTGCGGAGTCCCAAAGCAAGATCGACCGGTTGCCCCTTCAGTGAGCTCGCAAATTACACTGCAGTCTTCTTTGTTAGCATCAAACGGATTAAGTGGCTTTCAGGCGCCCGTTCCCTCAACCACGCTATCATCGTCTGAGATACAGCCAAGTTTTGGGATATGGGAAGCTACTCTATCGAAGGTCGGGCCGAGCACGAGGTACCTGACGGCCTTCAAGACTACAACGATAACCTCGCAGCCCATACCTCCCACACCAAAGATTTGGAGCAACGCGTCACTCTCAGATATTACCGCAACACAAACTATTACACAGTTCATAACCATTGTGTCTCTTTTCAGAAGCAAGACAACTTCAGACCGGTCCCTTTCATATTTCACAACTGTTAGCATGCCAGGTACGTCGTGATTCAAATCATGAAACGCATCTTGCCACTAACGAACCTTAAGTATTGCCAAGCCGATCCACTGCCAGTCCTAGTAGCCACGCTACTCCTAGCGCCACGAAGACGACTACGAACCGTGCTAACCCTACGACAACGCCTCATTTGACCACTTCGCTCGTCAAGGAAAACTGGTGTGTCACAGTCGCCGATGTTGATCGGAATGACCATCCGGTCATTGTCGCAGGTGGGCCTGCCGCACCAAATGGAGAGTGTAGCTCACCACCTACCTTCTATGGATTTCCTTATGTGACAAGGAGTGAAGCGGTCGTCACAGAGAAACCATCCGACGTACCTGTTGGGAGGGCATGGTGCGTTACCATGGCTGATGTTGATAGAAATGGGCAAATGCTTCCGGTTGATGCAGGTCCGGCAATGTTGGATGATAAGTGTGATGCTCCTTCAATGTATCAGTGGAAAGGAGGTATGGCTTCATGATGAATGAGTCAGATTTGACTTGAGATTATATAACAAATTTCATATCTCAATATATGAGCCTTACATACGCTACAAATCAATAAAATGATGGATGAAAATGAGAAGTAGCATATTAGCATGGTGGATGCATATAGCGCAGTGACCGAGACAGTAAACACAAGTAGAGTAGAATTGATATTGCATATCAGCAAAACAAAAATCATTAATCATACATCTATTTACCTCCCTCTCCAACTTACACCGCCTTCCAAACCTCCGCATACCGATCATTCCCCGAATCGCGATTTCTCTCATACTCACTCCGATCCGCAATCGTCTGCGCCGCATCTTCGCCAAAAACCTCCGCAATCCACGCATACGCCAGATCCGTGCCAGCCGAGATACCAGAACTAGTCCAGATATTGCCGTCAACCACCCATCTCGCTTTAGCCACCCAATCCACATTGGGATGCAGAGCCTTGACCTATTATCCTCCACATCAACCGTCTACTCGGCGACCCAACCAACAACTGCAAAAAAAAAATCGAGAAAGGAAAAAAAGGAAGGGAAAGGGGAGGGGAGATAACGTACATTATTAAACGCCCGTTTATTCGACGTAGCCCGGCGTCCATCCAGCGCCCCCGTCCTCGCTAGAATCTCACTTCCCGTACAAACCGTAAGCACCCACTTCAGTCTCCCCTGCCCGCTCAAATCCAGCTTCTTAAGATACTCAACGAGAGGGCCCATATGCTCGTCGCTGCCCTCGCCCCGCGATCCCATGCCACCGGGAATAAGCAGGACATCGAGGTCGTCGGGCGCGGAATCAAACGTGTGGGTTGGCACGAGTGACTGGGATATTTGCGAGCCTTGCTGCGCGTGCAGCGTGTTGTGCGTCGAGACTGGATCGAGGGTTGCAGCGAGGATGCTGAGGGAGATTTTGTGCGTGTAGCCTAGGATGTTGAAGGCGTCGAGGGGGCCTGCGACGTCGAGGAGTTGGAAGCCGGGGAACAGGATGAGGCCGAATTTGGAGGGGAGAGAGGTGCTGGACATTTTTTGGGGGTGGCTGGGGAATTCGGGGTCAATGGGAGGATGGTTGCTTTCCTTCTTTTTTCCTCTTTTTTTTGGGGTCAAAGAATTGAAAAGGTCGAGGTATGGAGATTGGGAGGGAAAAATATCAATGTTGATACTTCATGATATCATGCATGTGACTCAGTGCTTTTTGTAGATACTACTATTAGTCAGCGATGAGGCTTGGTACCCCGTGGGGGAGCGCATTAGAGTTAGTTTCCGCCCGCGGATTTATTCTAATGGCCCAAATCGAGTAAAAGAATTCAATTGAGACATTGTTGACCATGGACACAGCATGCGAACCGTTTACTCGACTAGGACATAAAGGCGTCATATTATGAAAAGACTGGATGGACAACATTCTTAAAACTGCTACCAACTACACGACACCATTCATATGCACACCTTGCTCTTCCTGCTGATGTACCGTCAGCATCCGCCTGGCCTTATCGATCCTCTCCTTGGTAAGAATGTAACTCTTCGGAATATCGCCCTGTTGTATCATCTGCGCCTGCACTGTGCCAACGTCTTGTCCCCCAATCTCTGCGAGGACCATGTCCACGATTGCCTTTCCACATAGTGTACCGTTTGGCATGCCATGACCGGTGTATCCACCACAGAGCCACAAGCCATCTCTGTCTGGTACCTTCCCAACCCATGGGTGGTTGTCACGGGAGTAGCCCATGATACCAGTCCATTGAGCAGCAGCCTTCAGTTCTTTGAGACCTTCGGTCTTGCCGTCAAGTTCGAGTACCTTGAGCAAAGCGCCTCGGAGATAGGCGGCAGATCCCTCATCGATAGTGCTGTCGTCAGAGATACCTAGACTTGGGTAGTTTCCAGCTCCGCGGCCGCCACCAAACATGAGGTGGCCAGCAGGGTTTGGCACACCCTCAAATGGTCTCTGAATAAGGTAATCGTCGTTGTGAGCAGGCTGACCGAGCGCAGCAACCATGCCATACGAGTTTGGAAGGAGTGTCGAGCCCTCTGGCGGGAAGAGGGCGGACATTTCACCGCGGCATGGGACGATGAGATCCGCAAAATGGGGCAGAAGAGCTGAGGTGTAGCCATTCGTTGCCAGAATGACTGTTTTGCTGCTGATGGTACCGCGAGGTGTGTGTAGTGTATGTTTCCCCTCGGAAGTTGTAATGTTCGTAACGGGGGTCTTGGTCTGGAGATTTACTCGGCCGTCTTGCACGAGCTTTTGTAGAATGAATGTGACCAGCTTGTAAGGCCACAGACTCGCTGCTCCCTCACTCAACGTCGCCGCCAGGCAGTCAGGCGCTACGCGATGCTTCTTGAGTTCCTCCTTGTCTTTTATCACTGTTACCTTTGCTGCTATCTCAGGGGCAACGTTGCGAAGATGTCGGAGTTCATTCTCAACCTCCTTTAGCGCTGCCTGGTTCCAAAAAGTTCGACAGCCTGACACGTCCCGCCATTCACATGGCACATTGTTATCTTGTACGTAGGATCGTACTGCAGCGACATTCTTCAGTTCGAATTTGGCCACATCGCTAGATCTGTCGAACAAGAGGGGTTGGCAGTGTCCACCGTTCTAACTATTTGTCAGCATAGATCCTACAATCCCGCGGCGGATAACCCCAGGCCAGGCGTGCTCCGAATGCCGTGCACATGTGTATGCAACCACCCTAACGACTTACCCTGCCAGTAGCACCCCAACATGCCTCTCTCGCCTCGAGCATTACGATGTTCTTGCCATTGGCCCTTTCATCCTCAACCAAGTATCTGGCCGCACTTGCACCCGTAATACCAGACCCCACAATGACAATGTCAGCCTCGGCGGGCAGGTTTTCTGTTGTGCGATGGCCGATAAGATACTCGTTTGGCTCGCTGTGCCAGAACGAGTTGGATGACGCGGGCGTCGGAAGGGTGGCGCGTTCCTGTCTCATGATGCGAACGTAGATGGACCGATGTAGATAAGGTTGGAGAATTGTGGACTCGATGTGGATTGAATTGAGTTCTTATATGCGTTTTTTTTTCTTTCCTGCCTTCGCAGAAGACAATCTCATGTGGTGACGAGTCTTATCCCGAGGGTTCGGAATATGTTTGTTGTACCGACGCCTTTGGACTTCGTGGCGTGGCGGAGGGGTAGTGGATCGTTGGTCGGAATACCAACTTAGGCTATCTACGTGATCATCCTGTTGCTCCGATCGTAGGGCGCGCCGGGCGCTGATCGCTACAAGCCGCGTCAAGAGTCAGAATCGTCATTGTATATTGCTGGGAGTGCCGAACCAGCACAAGACAGTAAGACATGAAGGTGCTCAAGAAGATGGGTAATGTACAGAGGGGCAATTCAATCATGGTGCTTGAGTCATGACAGCAGACAGCTGGAGCACATGCGAGTCAGTAGGGCTGATTATGTAAACTGAGAGTGAGTCCACAATCAAAAGCCTATGCTCCATTCCTATGAGCGACACGAAAGTTGGGTCGACGTTAGCATCGATAACTACAATTGAGCACTTTTTAAGATAACACCGTTCATTTCAAGCCTCTCCGTCAGCCAAATTCTTATATGCGATACTATGAGATGATTTATTACATCAAGCATGGCGGATCGTAAGGGCCGCAACAAACTGATTTAGCCTCGTATTAGGAGGAAGTTAACCAAATTACTAGTCTTGGTCCTTTCGAGTGTCCGTATCAGACGAAAAGTGAAATCTAAAACACCTATGAAGATACCTAGTACCAGGATGCGCATATGAAATCACTATCGAGTATGACCTACATCGCGATTGGCGCTGGGATCCAGGGTCCTAATAGCTTAGAGCCGCTATAAGTTACTGCTATAATGGCGAGTAGGACGGTAGTCGAGCTGGAGTCTCAACTAAGTATAGCTCTATACATATATCATACCCCTGATTAAGGACGCTCCGATTGATGACAAGCTTGTAAACTAGACTTACTGACACTAATCCAGAACGAAAGGAAAAAAAATATTACCGATTTGAGCTTGGCAAGCAGTATCCACCATGTGCGACAGAAGGTGATGGGAATGAAAACGTTGAGAATAAGCGTATGGATTGAAGCAGTATGTTCAAATTTGAGGAACAGACAGATCCGAAGTTTGTAGCATGCGCTAGTCTAATAAGCACTAATTGTTTTTTCGCCCCCTGATGCATATATGAATTACTGCATCGTAGACAAGCAAAAACGAGAGGGCACGTTCCTTCGTTCCCTACCACGATTGCAAGCAGTGAGCGCCCTGATTTCCAAGGCTCAAGCAGCAACCCTGGAATCGAGCCTTGCGAAGTTGGAAATTTCCTGGCTTTGGGAACTCGCAGTTGGTATTTTCGACGTCATACTGCGCGGGTTCGCGGGCATGGCTGCAGCAAGTACTGGTGGATATTTCTGAGCCATCGATTCCTTGAACGCAGTAGCAGTAGTCCATTTCCTAGACGTCGGAGATTCGTTAGCTGAGAAGAGTCTTATAAATTTCTTTTGAGCAGATGAGGGAACTTAGGCCGAATTTCGATTAACATGGCTATCTTACACTACTACTCTGCTTTATGACACTATAAGAAAAAAGAAAGAAAGATAGGAAACTAATACGAAGGGAGCTAATATGAACGCGGTAATACATTGCCCGAGCCAGCTCAAACACGAATAATATTTTTCCCGTTGCCGTAGCGTCGTATATCAGACCAGTTTCTATGCTTGGTGTCTACTTGCGTCGTTGGAGAAAGTCCTTGGCTGAGGCAGTAACGGAATATCCGTTGAAGAGCCAATCGTTTGAGTGTCGGCCTCTCCACGGGTCGCTGCCGCTAGTAGTTCTCCTGCCTGCATCCTGGAGAGTTGGTCTGGTACTCTGTCCTGGTGTAGCTACTGGGCCTGGAGAAGTAGTGGAGCTGGTGGTAGATGCATGTCGTGAGTGTGTTGGCATGGCCGTGGGCGGCGACCTTGGTCGCTTGTCTGGTGGGGCGCCGCGAGAGCGACTTCGTGAACGGCCGCGGATTCGCGCTGCGATGGCACCAAAGAAGGATTCTTCGGTTGGAGATGCTGCCATGCGAGATGTTGGTGATGTTGGGGAGTATGGTGGAGAGATTTGGCCCGATGATGACGATTGTGACTTTTGCGAATCGACTGTGTTTGTGCGGATGGGAAGGGGCATGTTTTGAGTGTGTGAGGCCATGCTGGGTACCGCAGTGTTGGAAAACTTAGTAGTAGAGGGATAGTTACAAGTAGTGATGTTTATATTGAAGTTGATGGACCAGCCAAATGTTGGCGCGGATAAGTAAGATGACTGCAGAAGGTGAGGATGAGGCTCAACATCAGGCCGTCGGCTGGATTTATAACCCGCCCTATGGTCTGCTTCTCAGTCCCTCTCCTGTGTGTCCTCATTGCCGCTTGACTTGGCGCATATCGCAGCTCTGTCGAGGTGACGGTGACGCTCTGCATCCTCAAGCCATTTGGCCCAATCAGAGGGCGTAGATGGGGTGCGGGGCGGTAGAATCGCCATGTTCCTTTGGAAAGCTCACCGACTCCCCACTTGTGAGCATCGGTCTAGAGGCCCACAGTCGCACTGCAAAGCCAACACATCTAGACAAAGTGCCAGGGCGTCATGGGGGTGCCACTGCGACATAGGGCTTAGCGGCATGTCAATCACTGCACATGGGGTGCGACGGAACCATGATTTAGGGTCACCGGTTTTCAGGGATGCGCCCAGACTGTCCCACCACCATGGCTCCAAGTGTCCTTGGTGGTTATTGAAGTTCACCTGCGCGGCTTGCTGCGTATGGACACTCGGGTAGAGCGAGCTTGTCCAACGACGTGTTACCAGTTGTTGCCGTCGTCTGTCACAAGCACACAAAGTCCTGCAGGAATCTGCCGTGCCGTGTCCTCGAGGACTACTTACCTACTATCAGCGGGTGCGCCTCAATATGCAAGTCGAGGGGATCAGGCGTGCCGGTACCAAAACATGCTCTCGAGTTCCAAGCAATTTCCATCGGACCCGGCCACATACTCAGCTCTGGCCCTCAATCTTGGTTCTTATAAAACGCCTACAATGTCTGGTTCGACCATGGCCATGGCGCGATACCCCCGCATTTGCGACTCATCTGCATCCACGACAGCGGCCAGACCGACGTCTGGTGGTTTCGCAGCAGAGACATGGCGCCGCAACAAGTGCCAAGATCTGCACAATCAAGGCAGCACACACACGAAACCACCATGCAACTTTATCTCGCAATATCCAATGTCATGTGCATGGCGTCTGTGAATACCAAGGCAGCCATGGCTTCCCCGGCCCTAGCTTCCACGCAACCACAAAAACTTGCTCATATTGCATCTGCTCGAGTAATGCACATTCTGGAGAATAAAGTTTTGTGGCAAAAAAAGAACGTAGGCGCAAAGAATACTCGGGGATCCAGAAAGCAGAAGGGTTGCGGTGGCTTTGCTGTCCTCACTTCGCTCCCGGCCCAATTGCTTGGAAGGCAATTATCCTACCGTTGGACCAAGAAATGCTTGATGGAAAAGAGCAAAATGTCATGATATCGCAATGTGAGGACTCCATAGCCTTGGCACACAGGCTTCACTCCGTCCTACTAGCATCGACAAATCAGGCTAGCACAAGCTCCATCTTCCTCAACTCAATGTCGATACACTATTTTTTTTGAAAATCTTCTTAATCTTTGTTTCATTTTATTCTAAATCACCTAGAGGATGTGGGTATAAACTACAATCAAGAATTGAGTCAAGTTGACATAGTGATGCAAACCACTGAAATAAGTGCAATATTCATACTTGTATCCTGATGACAGGATCAGACCAAGCAACTAGCTCCTTCAAAGATACTGAGCTTTTCAACGCCCATGCAATGCATTAAATGATGCAACTTCGTATTTTCCATAGACCGACAAAATTTCCACAAATAGCTCACCATCCATACCGATTACCCGCCTCCCTCTTATTCCGGGCACTCGCAGCAAAATGGTCCTCGAGCGCATCTTTCTGCGTAGTCGCAACATTGACCAAGCTGCGAAGACTGTTCTTTCCAGTACCAGAAATGGACTTAAGCGGGTTGTGCGATACTGCCTCGCCCTGCTGTCGCAGCCGTTCATTGTGTGCGTACTCCTCGTCGGTATTGAATTCGACTATCTTTGCGCCTGAGAAGTCCGGTCCACCGCGACCCTTTTTGCCGAATAGTTGGCGCCGTTCGGCTTCCGAGAGATTGAGCTCCGAGGCAATGTTTGTGAGGCCATTACCAGCTGGGGCGTTTGCGGACGGTGCTGCATACTGAGTGGTGTAATTTGTCGAATGTCCGTCAAAGGCCGCATCGGGCACAGGCGCATCCTCGTCTTGTTCCGCCCCGTACAGCAGTGGTTGGTATTCTCCGTCCGATGACGCCTTGCTTGCAGGCTCTGCACCACCTGATACGCCGAAAAGGGAGACTTTTGGCTTTTGCGGTTTTGTTTCTACAACAGGTGGTTGTGGTGTCAACACTGTTGGGCCTGTTGGGCCGGCTGCCTCAGTTGACGCAAGCGCTGGGCGAGGCACTACTGGTTTCTTCTTCTTTCCTTTGCCCACAGACATGGGCACGAAACGCGGCGCCGCAGGTTTCGGTGCTTGCTGCGGCTCCGACTCCACCTTTGTGTCTTGTGCTGGCAACGCCGGTTTGGTATCCGGCTTTGCTTGTGACTTTGGAGGCGGCAGATTCAGCATGGCCCTAAAGTCGTCCTTGTTCATCGGCTCCTTTTTGATTGGATTCCCAGTCTCGTCGTACTCTTCGGTATCCGCTCTTGGCTCCCGCTTAAAGGCAGGCTCAGCACCGGTCTTCAAGCTGACACCTGACGCGAGCCCTTTGCCGAGCCCTCTGCTCCCAGCTTTTGCGCCCTCGGCCGCTGCGATGGCATTCAGATTGGGCTTCTTTGGCGCAGGCAGCATCGCATTGAAACCAGCAAACGACGATCCCCCTCCCAGGCGTGGCTTTTTCGCAGGCGGCGCGTCTCTCTGAATGTCATCCTTGTCCTGTCGCGACTGCGATGCGCCTGGGAGATTGACTTTGATTCGTCCTGGGTTGGAGCGGTCGACGACTTTCTGAAAGGCGGGTTTCGAGGCGAGCTTGGCGGCGACTTGAGGCGCAGAGGGTGCCTCGCTGTCGGATTCCGAGTCGGAGTAACCAGCGAGGAGGTTCATGGTGTTGGGAGGGTCTTGGCGTGGGGTGAAGGTTGAGAGAGGGCTGTGGTCGGAAAGTTTACAGGACGATGAGATCACATCGGCGCGTCAACGGGTGCAGCAGCCAAGCCCAACCAGGGTCCATGTACATGCACATGCACTTCCCCACAGCCTCCACTTCTGCATCTCTGCCCATGGGCGTTTTATGATTCCCGTCAGCTGGTCTGAGCATACATAGCTTTCGATTCTGAGATGTTGATACCTTTACCCTGACCCTCCAACCATGTCCCTCCTCCAAAATGAAGAGTAAGCGGCCGTCCTCTTCGCGTCGCATCGCCAACTGACTGACGTATGTAGTTTCGTGCTATACCAGCTTCGCACCGCCTACCTAGGCGCCATCAAGGACGGCGTGGGTGAGCGCCTGATCAACGTCGACTCGAGTGTTCTGAACAACCCAGCATTCCGTGCCGCTGGCTGGGTGCCCAATGCCTCCGACATCAAGCGCACCTACTCCCCACCGATCCCTACCGCCATCACCTCCGAGTACTTTCAAGCCCCGCGTTCGGCTGGCTTGAAGCCACCCGAGGGTTTCGGAGAAGATGAAGAAGAGGGTGGCATGGTCACGGGAGCCGGAAGCAACGACACCGTGGGGCCAACCTTGAATGCGAAGCGCAGACGGCGCAAGGAGCAGCTGGAGGAGGATGACAGTAGCGACCTCAGCGATGAGAGCGATGATGAAGATGACTCGCAAAGGTAGGCCAACACCCTGCGCCGCGACCTGCAAACTGATCAAGCCACAGACCAGCCAACCTAATCAAGTTCACCAAGATGCCCCTACGCACCCGTTCTGGTTCGTCGCCCATGCGTGGATCAGCACTGCGCAACGAGCTTGCAGAGGCCGGAGAAGGGCCTTCACTCATGATTACTTCACCGTCGCGCCCGCCAGAAGAGATTCCGCGTAGATCGTCCCTGCCCACTGTCGAGTCGTCCAAAGGAAGGGCTAGGAGAGACACCATTACCAGCAGCGAAATGTCGTCAGAAAACGAATTCGACAACTCGTCCTTCAGGAAGAGACGAGTTAAGCCTCGAAAGGCTGCCAATGCAAACCACTCGCTTTCCCAACGGAAAGATGAGTATCAAGGAGATGCTGCTGGTTCGCGTGGTCGTTTGGAAGCTCTGGACGAAGGCGACGAGTCTGATGATTCTTTGACGTCTGAATTTTCTGGTTCTAATAGCAGCGCCTCCTTCATAGGTGTAGCTGGCGACCCTTTAGACTCTTCTCCCGCAGGCGGCGACCTTCCCACCATGCCTGGCTTGACGCCTTTCCAAAACATGTCTCCCAAAAAGAAGAAGAACGAGCCAGTCCAGCCGACGCTTCAGGCCCTGCCTCCACCACGACCAATCAGTTTTGTACTGCCCGTGAGTGCCTTGACCCAAGCAATTCGGGCCAAGGAGCAGAAGCCCTCCGATCCCCTGCAACGTTTCGCCATGTGGAATGCTGCGAGCGAGGCTCAACAAAACCCATTGTTTATCAAACTATACTGTCCATTTTCTTCCAAGCCATCCAAGCCTATGGAGCTGCTGATCAGGAAGTTCAACGACAAAGGAGAGGGACCTACGGTGGCAGAAGCCATCGGATATGCGTTGCACCGCTACCAAGAAGAGAAGCTGGAACCGCCATTGACAGCCGAACAGTTGAATGTCAACTGCTGGGTCATGCGCATGTACGACGACGGCGAGGTTGACGACGAATTTCCGCCGTTGACGAGGAACAAGCCACTCAAAGACTTTGCATCCAACAACGCTCGCGGTATGCGACCTCGCGCAAGGGACAAGCCTTGGGATGAGTTTGCGCTCGTTGCAGCGACACAGCGGGAGTTTGGCGAAAACGAGAAGCTTACGCCCATCTACAGTCAAGAAGCTGCCAGTGCTGTTGTATCACAAGGCGATGGTGCCGACGGCCAGGAAGAGAGTGAGGAGAAGAAACCCGTAAAGCCCATGCCCAGTCGGGCTAAGAGCTTCAGAAATCCAATCACTGGTCCATCTTTTGCACCAACAGCGACCCGTAAAGACACGAGCAACTTGGCAGATGTGCCAAAGGTGGCGCCATCGCATGCCGCAAGTCGTACTGGAGCCCCGAGGACGGTCAACATCCATTTCACCGACGAGAATTTCAACACCAAACACTTTTCGTTGCCATGCACAACCGACACATATATTGCTGATCTGTTCGACCAAGTATGCCACGATCTCCAACTCGAAAAGGGCCTCTACATCCTCAAAGTAAGCGGCAGCACCACGGTAGCACCACCCGACCGCACCGTAGAAGCCCTTGACACACGCATGGATCTGGATCTCGTGCGCCGTCGCTTCGTAGGTGACGGCGTCTTCGGCCTCTCAGGCTCACCAGGTTCCTCATCTCCCAACGCACCCCTCATCATCAGCACGGGTGGCGCCCCCAAGAAGACCAAAAAAGGCGACCGCACCCACGCCGCCGTCTCCGGCGCAGGTCTTCTGCACCCCCTCGCCCGAACCGGTGACTCAGGTGCACTCGCCCTCTCAACAACAAACTACTACCGCCGCTACGCCGTCCTCCGCAAACAGCCCATGTCCTTTGCCTCGTCCACTTCGCGCATCATCGCCCTCGACAACGAGTACATCCACATTATGCCCGGCGAATCAAAAACCGGTGCCCGCGGCGGGTTTGGTGTCGATGTCCAGGGTAAAACTACCACTGTCCATTTTAGCAGCGTGGTGGGCAGTAAGGTGTCTAAGAAACACCCCAAGATGTTCAGAGTTATTGTATTCAAGGAGAGAGAGACGAAACGGTATGATTTTGAGGCTCAGAGTGTGGATGAGGCTGTGGAGATTGTGCGAGAGATTAAGAAGGGGGTGGAGCGGTTTCAGGAGGGGATTGTATAGGCCATTGAGGATGGGGATATTTGGGACTGAAGTTTATGTTTGTTTGTTGCTCTTTTTTTTGATAAAGTTGGGTATAGACGGCGGCAAGTCTATTTGTTTATTTTTGCTTGCAAGGGCGGGAGGTGTGATGATGATATCGGGACGGTTATCTTTTTTTTGGGTGGGTGGGTGGGAGTGGGGACCTGGATGGTGTTTGGACATTGCTGGCATCTATTCCAAAGTTACGAGAGATACCAAGGACTATGTAGATTCCTTCTTTCTTTTCTTCGTTTCTTGGACATTAGATACCAAAAATAAAACATATATATATAAAAGCACGATTCATGTAAAAAGATGAAGACACTTCTCGGACCGAAAAAAAATACATAGAGTTCAAAGTTCAGAGTTTGTATTGACATCAACCCCACAAAAAATATGTACACGGAAATATAGGATAGTAAGATAGATAAGACCATTCCAAAGATTCTCCGTAAAAGAAAGTGTGATTAAATCGTACACTTCATTCTACTTCCCAAAGTTAAATTCATCCGCACCATTCTTCCACTTTGCGAAAATCTCAACAGGAAACTGTTCAGCAAGGTGCGCGTAACCCACCGGTCCCGGGTGAAGATAATCACCGCTATCATACTGGGGCGCGAGCTGACTAGGAATCTTAGGATCAGCCAGGAACTTGTCGAAATCGACAACGGCATCAAAGACGCCGCTGGTACGGATGAATTCGTTGATGCGCTGCCTCGTCTTTTCGCGCTCAGGGTTCGAATAGGGCTGGCCGGTGAAGTTGGAAGGGGCACTGAAGGGTGTGATGGTTGCGCCAAATACAGGAATGCCATGGGCGTGGATGAGGCTGACCATTTGCTTGTAGGCTTGGATGAGGGAGGTGTAGATTTGGTTCTGGGCTTCGGGGGTGGTAGGGGCGCCGCCAATGTCGTTTACGCCCTCGAAGATCATGGCGTACTTGACGCCTGGGTGGGCGAGGACGTCGCGGTCAACACGGCCAAAGGCATTTGGACCGAGGCCGTCTGCGAGAATACGGTTTCCGCCTGCAGCAAGGTTGCCAATGGAGATGGACTTTGTGGCTGGGTTCTTCTGGAGGCGGGCGAGGAGGAGATTTGGCCATCGGTTGTTCTTGTCAGTGGTGGAGCCACGGCCGTCCGTGATGCTATCACCGATGATGAGGAGTGAGCCGACATTTTGTGGGACCCAGGCTTCAATCGATGAAATGAAGTACCAATGCGCTGCTGATTGTGTCGCTGGGTTGGTAATAGCTAGACTTGGCGCACTAACGGCGTTGCCAAATTGCCACCAGCTGGTTGTCCGGGATCCTGGATGGCTAGTGATGCTGTTTGTCCTCTGACCAGCTGCGAGATACATGGTTACGGTGATGACTTGTTGTGCCTTGATTGGGAAGTTGATAGGATCCGATACGGCGAGTGCGCCGTTGGGGACACTGATTCCATCTTCACCACCAAAAGTGACCTTTTGAAGCGTCTGAGGCTGGATGTCGTAGATACCAGCGGTCTGGTTTGCGGGAAGTGCGACAGTAACAGCGGTGATGGGGAGGTTGGAGCCACCAAAGACGTTTGTGAATTTCAGGCGGATCTGATTGGCGTCGGTGGTCACGTAGAGCGTCTGACGAACGGTACTGTTGACGAAGACAGCTCCGGTTTGGTTCTGTGGGAGCTGGGTTAGAGATGTATCCACAACCACGGATGACGAATTATACGTACAAATGGTGCTGGTGGTAAATTTGCTGGCTCAGTGAGCTGGGGCATTGTTGCAAATGCATCGACCCAGTGGCCGCCGGAAGGATTGGGGCGGATGCTGGGCTTGTTGGTTTGTCTACTGTCGATTGCATTGCAGTGAACGGACACTGCAGCGCCCGCAAGGAGCACTACCAGCCTTGAGAAGATCATCTTGACTTGATCACTTTGTAATCGACAACGGTAAAGAACGACGACTGTACAAGCAGACCCAGGAGCCAGGACACGAGCATATTTAATACTTGACGGGAACACCTAAATCACGGATGTCTGGGGGACCCCAGGGAGCTAGACAGGAACATTAAAGCCCATTGAGGATAGCGCACGAACCGATCTACGGCCTGTTCCTGAATAGGCATACGTGCGGGCGTCACGTTGTGGGGTTTGGTGGAGGGAGCGGATAAATTGGAGAGGCCAACGAAAGTTGGTTGGTGGGCAAGAGGCTCTTTACCCATCGGCTGCAAACCGCGTAAACTAGATACACGGCCATGGCTTGCTGGGTCTTTAAGACTCGGATATAATTATTCCGTCAGTACAAGTAGGTGGGAAGAAGGCTGAAACAAGGAAAATCGTGTATCCGTATTCATTGGTATCGTATCAATCGAGGTAAACAGAACAAGACAACGCCGCCCATGCAATGCAATTGAAGAAACTGTTCCATCGGCCTGTAGAAGGGCCGCCTGTTACCATGGTACCTTGCCTTGTGCGTAAGTCGGGCAGAAGATTGTATTTGGTCAAAGAAGTGCCCGTAAGCAAATAGCGTGGCGCATGAGTCGAGGGACAAAATGTGGGGCTTGGCGTCCCTCACATTGACGATGTTCTACTGCAACGCGCAAATGAGCCTCATCTGTTGGAAATTGTAAGGGTTGGCGTGGCCCAAGGGCAGAATGGCAAATCTACATGTTTGCATACAACGACCTCGTGGGAGTGGAGAACCACTAGGCCGAGTTGAGATGCAAGTGGGTGGTGGCGCGTGTCCATGGTAGTCGAATGGCAAACAGGGAAGCCGAGAGGACCCGCAGGGCAAACGGGGGGCTAGCAGCTTCTTTCTAGGCGACGGCATACATGACGTCGACGGGTGAGGCTGCAGCGAACGGCACGCTTGTGCGCAGAGGGCAGTACGGCATTAACGTTTCTGTTTGGCTTCAAAAGTCGTCGTCGCTGTCGGCCTTTTTCTTTTTCCGGCTCGACGTCTTCTTCTTCTTGCCGTCGACTTCCATGTTGTCGGCCTCGCTCTTGTCGGGCGCATCGGCGACTTTTGAGACAATCTCGTTGAGGAAGTCGAAGCGGTCTGTCTTGGTAATTGCCTGCTTAAGATGGATGGAGCCGACGCGCTTCGAATTGCGCGACTTTGCCTCGGCGGCAGCCTTTGTGACGAGGGAGATCATGAAGAGCTCAAGGGCTTTTGCTGGGGGTGCGTTAGCAAGCACTGGCGCGGGCAAGCATGGGGTGGGGGAGGGGAAAGGAGGGGACACGTACAAACAACAACGGGTGTGACTTGAGCGACCTTTCCGACGTCATCATCGGCCTGCATGATGCGCTTTATGCGCGCGACAGGAAAGTGGTTCTTGATGGTGATGTGGTCGGTGTTGGGCAGGTCGGGAACTGCAGACATTTGTGGGAGCGACGCGTCGGGGATGTAGTCTGCATCGTGCATAGCGTCCCCGCTGGCGAGATGGCGAGGCATGGGGCTCTGCAGCATGGGGTGGGGGATGTGCTGGGGCGGTGCTGGGTACTGGTGGTGGTGTTGCGGGTGGTGGTAGTAGAGGTGCTGGTGGTGGGCGTCAGAGGAAGATAAATCTGGCGGCTGTGGTGGAGCGCAGGGCATAACGACAGGGGGCAGGCGCGAACTATGCGGGCGGTGAAATGCTTTTCTGCCACTGTGCCAGTCGTCACTTCCGCGCGAGGGCGGGGCATCCACCGCGCTTTATCTGCTCAGGGAACCTTCCTGCCAAGACAAGGTGGTACGTGCTCCTAGCTCCCCTGCGCCCGCACCATGCATCGACTGCTACTCTCTATCCCTTCCTCTTCTCTTTCCTCCCCCAGTGGATGACGATAACGAGCACGCCAGAGACCATGACCGCGACTCCGCACACACAGTAGACGTCGCGGTGCCTGCCTCTGCCCGCAACGACGAAACCCGCCCCGGGCATACCCCACGGCTGCGGTTGATCGGCGCGCACGAGCAGGCGTCGCTGAGGCTGTAATTACTTGATCTAATCTGACACTATACAAGATACGTACAATACACTCTACACAGTACATACCCGCGCCCCCTCAGCCATCCTTGGTGACGCTGTCGTCCTCCTTGCGTCCTTCTCTGTGAGGCCCCTCGCGCAGCCACGTCGTCGCAAGGCTGTTCTTCGGGTCATCTTCAGGGTACCCGCGCTGTCGCCGCACATCGACCACCGCCTGCCGTACGCGCCTTGTGCACTCTTTGCGTATCTCGACGGCTTCCTTCGAGTACTTGAGCGAATCGTTGAGTACCCCGACCGCCAGCCGCTCGCCCTTGACTTGTTCCTTCGCCTGAAGCTGCTTCCACCGCCTGCGCAAGTCACCAAACACCTCTTCGGTATCGAGCTTTTCTCCAAACGTCACCCGCACGTTCTGAAATGGCCGCGGGATGAATCGTGGAAACGTGCGTGTCTCGTGCATGATGTTGTCGAAGCCCTCCACGAAAATGGGCACAACGTCCGGCATTGGCTCGCTCTCCAGTATCAGTCGCGACACACCCCACTTGAAGTAGCGCATGATTCTCTGCTCGCTCTGGTGGATCATTCCCTCGGGAAAGATATGAACCCACGCATGTCGCCGGTTTTTGTACGCCGAGGGCGCGGGGAACGTGTCGTGGCCATTGGTAGAGAAGGTAAGGTGCCCCCCGCTAAAGGGATCAATGAGGTCTGGGCTCTTGAGTGATGTCGCAGGCTTCTCCGGAGGGTCTTGTTCGTGCAGAAAAGGTCCGCGCGACAACAGGCGAATCGCTTGCGTTATGGTGGGCTGGAACAGGCCGCCGTACTGCGAATGCGCAGAGCGGTGCGTGGGGAGAACTTGGCCAAAAGTGAAAAAAGTTGACAGCCCTCTGTCCCCTGTTAGCTATGCGACGGGCCATATGCGGCAAACGTACTTGTTCGTGAAGCACAAATCATAACTCCCAAGTCCCCAACGCAGATTATCCGGGTTGAACATGTAGCTGAGGGGAAGAATGCCCCATAGGATCGGATCGTCCATTCTGTTCCAACTGCATGAGCACAATGCTTTGTCTTGCAAGACCAATGCCGCGGCAAACGTACGTACACAGATATGTGGTTGGAGACTGCGAGGGTAATTAGCACAAACACATGGTCATGCAATTGGCTTCCTCGAATGCATACCAGTAATCAGCCCCCTCTCCCTCTTTGCAGGATCCTCTCTCTCATCGAGCAGCTGCAGAAACTCATCCATGCCGTGAGTCTCGACATTGCTCAGCCCAGTGAGAAACCCTTTGCACAAAAGCCCCACGGCGCCCATTGTGATCATGGAAGCAGCGCGCCATGGCCCACTGGGCGCCTCTGGCTGGTCCTCTGGTCGCATTGCGAGTGTTGTAGGTCAAAGAACGACATGTGCAGATTTCGCGTCCCGCGGGTGAGCAACAGCCTTGCACCCAACGTCACTGGCCGCCTGTCCGCCAGGAACCAGGCAATTTTGGCGACAGGGATTCCGGTCAGGCGGCCGGCACGTGCAGCCACTGGCTGGCTCTTCGTTCCCCGGCACCTCCCAGCTCTCCTACACTACCCGATCCATGTCAGCATTCCGACATCTCGATACCCCATTGTAGTATTGCTGCTACGATACTCCTGTATTAATGTCACCTGATCAAGTACATACACCACACAGTATCTGGTAGACTCAAACTTGGCACCAACGCACGTGACCAACTGCAAGCGCGTCGCAAACTAACACTACATGGGTGCGAGACGCGCTTTGCCATTATCAACCATTTGCCTCTACTCCTAACCAACTCGTCTCACATCGCCTCAACATGCCACCGCCAAAGACTGTCTTCACATCGTATGAGCGAAACTCGCTCAAGGATAGATGGGGTTCACAATCAACGCGCCTCACACGTGATTCATTCTTGCCATTCGGCTCCTGCCAGCTCTGTCTTCTTCCATCAGTAGATCCAGTATGCTGTTCGCAAGGCGACCTCTTTTGTCGGGAATGTGCCTTGACGAATCTCTTGGCGCAGAAAAACGAGATGAAGCGGATGGAAAAGCTCAATGAGCGGCAAAAGCTCGAGGAAGAGGAGCATAAGTTGCGCGAGGAAGAGGAGGCGAGGCTGCGAGCGGTAGAAGAGTTTGAGCTAGTCCAGCAGGGACTTTCTGTCAAGGCAGGATCATCAGCAAAAATGGTTGGAAGAGAGGGAGGCAAGATCATGGTGGAAGAAGAGCAGGATCACAAAGCAGCTGGCCAGGGCAGAGGCACGAAGCGAAAGTTTGAGATTGACGAGGAGGAGCTTAAACGCATTGCGAACGAGGAACAGCGAAAAGCAAAGCGCAACCTGGACGAAGAACGCAAAGCTGCAAAAGGCCATCTACCGAGTTTCTGGGTACCAGGCGAGACACCTGATCAGCACCATAAGACTGCTGAAAAGGCAAAGAACACACCAATATGCCCGTCCAGCTCCCCCGACCAGCCTCACAGTCTATCCCTCAAGGGCCTCACGAGCGTTCATTTCCACGAAGAAAAGTCGACGGAGACCGGCAAGCCTGTGCGCACGTGTCCAAGCTGCCAAAAGGCATTGTCAAACAGTACAAAAGCTATGCTCGCTATCCCCTGCGGTCATGTCCTCTGCAAGCCTTGCGTCGACAAGTTTCTCAAGCCCGAACATCGTCACCACCGCGATGCGCATGATGACGCCCCCGAACCAGATACGATACATTGTTATGTCTGTGACGCCGATCTCAGCACCGCGCCAGATGCCAAGGAAGGAAAGAAGAAGAAAAAGAAGGAACAGGCGCCCAAGCCGGGATTGGTCGAGATTCGGAGTGAAGGCACAGGATTTGCGAGTGGTGGCAAAGCTATGGTTAAGAGGGAGGGTGTTGCTTTTCAGGTTTAGGGAGTGGAAGAAGTTCAAAGAGTTAGTCATTGGTAATGAGCATCATCACGTCCTAGGTGGATTTAACCCTCATCGAGTCACACCACCCAGCAGAGTAGAATACGACTTTAGATTCCGACATTCCTCGAGTCAGCCTAATACCATAGATCATGTGGTCAAGAGAGATGGATAAGAAATGCAACGGTTCATAGGGACAAAATCTTATTTAGAGTATCTTCTCAACAAACGCTGGCTACTACACATAGAACCCCATGTAGCACAATCAGTCAAACACGCTCCCGCGGCTCCACTTACTCGCTCTCCTCACCCTCTTACCGAATACATAAAACACAAACGGCACAGGAATAAGAAGGGCTGCAAATCCACCCGTGATGGAACTAGCCGGCCCAACACCAAGATTGTGATACAACGGCGTAACAACTAGCGGGAACGCGCCAGCGAACACACTGCGCAGAAACGTGTTTGCCGCCACTGCACTCGCTGCGTACAGTGTGAACGTGTCAACGAGGTAGTTGAGCGCAGCCTGGAAGATGGTAAAGAAACCTGTACCCATTAGCACGAGGCCAATGACCGGTGCGATCCAGTGGAACTTTGGGTCCGCAGTCCATCCCATGATAAATTGGCCTGCGGAAAACAAAACGGAGCCGAGCATCATGGGTGGCAAGCGGGCCTCAGGCACGGCTCTGTCACCTGCCGCGTGGTATACTTTGTTGTAGAGAATCTGGTTGTAAGCGTTGATGCTGCATCCGATGATTGCGCCGACCAAGATGCCCAGGAAAGGCAGTGTAGCGCTGACTGCAGGCCAGCCCCTTATTTCGCCAAAGATGATCGGGATACCGCCTAGTTGCATGTACAAGATTCCGTAACAGAAGCTCGCATACAGCGCGACGAGGAAGCAAATCGGCGTAGTGAGCAGCTGTATCGGGCGAATCAAGAACTTCTTCGAAAGCTCCTTGATACTAACATCCCATTCCTCGAACTTTGTATGCAACGCCCAGTTCCCCGTCTCATGTCGGAGGCGCCGCGCCTTATACACCAGCAACTTGGGCGGATAGCATTCATCGATGAACACGACATCGATAGCCAGCGTCGCCGCCTGAAGAATCCCCGTAAAATACTCTGTCCACCGCCACCCCAACGATGGATCCGCCACAAACGCTGCAGAAACAATAGGGCCCAGACACGGGCCCCCGACGACCGCCATTGCGTATCCGGCCATTGCCATGGCCCGCCACGCCGGACTATACAAGTCCCCCAGCACACCCCCCGTATTCGTCACTGGCGCACTCGCAAAAAACGCCCCAAAAAACCGTGTAATCATCAGCGTTTGGAAATCTTTTGCGGCCGCGCTACCAAAGCTGAAACACATGGCTACAAACATTGGTGTCAACACTGCGATCCGTCGTCCATACACTTCGGACAGCGGCGCCCAGAGCAAGGGACCGAGTCCGAATCCAAATAGGAAAATCGTAGTACCGAGCACAGCTACTTGGTTGCCTACGTGGAACTCTGCGGCTATTTGTCTGGTGCCTGCGGAGTACGCGGACGAAGCCCAGGTTGCGCTCATGGTGGTGAGACCGTACATGAGTGTTGTCAGGACTTTCTTTTTCGTGGGCCAGTTGATAGGACGGTAGGGATCGTCTTCGCCGTCAAAGTCGACGAGGACATCTGCGGTTGTGGGTTGGTGTGCTAACGGGTGTGTAAATGGAGCTACATTTGGTCGAGTCCGGATTCGCGAGAGGACGGTGTCTCGGCGGGATATTGTGCAGTTTAGGGATTGGTTTAGCCCAGTGGTTGTTGCTGGTCCTGTTCGTAGTTGGCTGCGTCGACTACGTGAACGGGAAATGCTTTCTGCTAGTTCCCTACGTGTGGGTCGGTGTCCGTCGTTGTGGGGGTCGTAGATGTCCGATTCGGTGTCGGTGGATATGGTTGACATTGTTGATGCACTTCTTCGTCTTGATCTAGATTTTCTTCCACTCTCGAGGTCCATGCTTGCGCTGGATAGTGATGACGCAGTTTCGTCTCGAGTTTTTTCTCTTTCAGGATCCATGGTATCAATCGTGTTATGTTACGGCGACCGCTGAAGATGGGAATTCTATGTCTCTAATTCTTCTCAATTGGTCTTATTATAAACAGCGATGGGTGAATAATCGAGCACCCAGCCCACAATTTATCATCCATGACCAACGTTCTCGCCATCAATAGACATAGATATCTCGGGTAAGTGTGACGTCAATTCCGCTTGCTAATCGTTTGGTCTAGCCTGAGCTGGTATAGTATCTCCATGACCATTCGCGTCGTCGTTGTTATTTCCGTAAGACTCGGAAAAATCCCCGGGATATGTAACGCGTAGAAGTGCTCTTACGAATGTGAAGATGAGTAGAGATGCTGACAGAGACGCCAAAGGGGATTTCTATGCAACGGAAAAGCAGTCTTGCGGAAAAGTAGTTCTTATGGGAAGGCAATCCTTACGGAAAAGTAGTCGCTAGAGGGCAAATATTGACGACACGAATACCGCATACTTCACTTCAAAGCACTACTCCGGCCAAAATAAGATATGTGTATTGAAAATAATAGATCCAAACACCCCTCAGCAGAAAAAATAATACAAGTCCGTGCAGGCAGGGTTCGCGCCACAACACCAAAATGACGTAACCTCGATAGTTCCAAACATATTTGCAGCTGTGTATCTCAATAAGAACACGACATCCTCAAATGATCTTTTAGAAAAATGACTTCTCCATCTTCAGAGAAGCGACCCCTGCATTCGCGTCTTGATACTCCGACGCGTGCTCGATTCTTTGAAGCTATCGATCGGCGCGGTGATAGGACTAAGCAAGACATCTACCGTGATTTCAACATCCTAAAAGCCACCGCCTTTCGACTCCTCCAGCAGCGCAATCAATACGGGAACCTAGCTGACCGCTGCTCAAAACTTCGTCAATACAAAAAAGAACACAGGGGCATTGACTTAGGCCGTCCGTGAAAGCATCCAGGGAAGACTACACAGCAAAAACGCAATGCTACACAACAGATTACTCGAACGAAAAGATTACCAAAAGTAGAATACTAGATGTCACATTCCGGTAGTACTATTGAACCATACAACGTCTTACTCCATACCCCTACTACTACTACTACTCACAACCCCTCCTTCCCCCTCCCCATCTCCAACTCACCTACCAAGCCCCCGGCGAACTCGCCACAATCTGTGCCGCAACCTCGCAATCCTCACCCTGCGGCACCACCGCCCCATACCCCACATTCTGCGCACACGCCGTAAACCCATACACACCGCCATAAAACCCACTCCCATCGGGACTCGCCTTCTGCAGCACCGCCGTCAACGGATCCACACTTGCCGACGGGCCTAGCGTCACATTGCCCGTCCTAAACGTCGGCACCGCCGTAGCATTCGTAAAGTAAAACGTACTCCTCTGGCACTTTGGGTTTATCAAACTCGCCGTATTCGCCAGGATCCAGGGCTGATTGATGATGCGTTTCCACTGGGCGAGTGTGTACCGCGGCGATGCTTGGTTGGCCTCGTTTACGAATTTCAGGTCAATGGCTTCGGAGTAGAGGCCGGGGCCGCTGGCGGGGTTGGGTGCTTGTGCCCATTTGGAGTTTATGCCAAGGGAGCCGTCTGAGTAGGATTGGAAGGGGGAGGAGAGGGGGATGAAGGCGCCGATGCGGAAGAGGATGCCTGCTATGGTTGCTGTGGGGGTTCGAGTTAGCAGTCGGGAGAGAGGGAGAAGGAGAAGGGGAAGACGTACCGACGACAGAGGGAATGATACCGGCGACGTAGGCTTGGGTTACGTCGTCGACGCCTGCAATGTAGTTTATGAGGGGCACGCTTAGGGGCGTTTGGGAAGACCCGATTCCGACGTATGGAATTAGGGAGCCGGCGAACATGAGGCCGGTGGCGATTTGGAAGTTGTCTTGTCGGATGTCGTTGGTCATGCCGGCTGAGGCGACAACTGGGTGCATTCCAGCGGGGAAGTTGAGGGATGCTGGGACGGGCAAGAGGTTTAGGCCGCCGAGGTTGAAAAGGGCGGGGAAGGCTTGTTGGAGGGCTTTTTTGACTTCTTCCTTGGGGACGGGGACGAGGAACCAGTCTGAGAGAGTGTGTGTGTTAGATTTGCTGCTCTTTAATGGGAACGTGGAGAGTATGTACTATTGGTGAACGACTGCGTCCGATCCTGTGGATTGTAAATAGCGACTTCATTCGGACATATGGCGCTCTGTCCCGCAACGAGACTCGCAGCCGCGAGCAAGATCTGAAGAAATCGTGCCATCGTCTCTACTCGCTTCTCGTTTTTTTGGATCTGAGATGCCAATTCCAAAATGCGCGTCGCACTCTCTTCCCTCCCCCCCCCCCTTTAATATACCTCAAGCCTACACCACAGCGCCACCTTGCCCATCTCCATCTCAGCCCAGCCATTAGCAAATCATCATGTGCAAGTCCGTGATCCACCACTGAACGAACCATCTTAATCCAAAATAGTCAATCGATCGCGTCGGGCGCGGGCCCTCCCGAGCTTCTCCGTAGAACGATCTACATCACTAATATCGATTGTGGCGCTCACCCACACGGCCAGTCCCCCCCCTCCCTTTACTTTGGAAACCTCCCCCCGCAGCTCCATCATCGATCCTGTGACTATCGAATAGTAGCGCTTTTCTTCTCGCTGATTCAGGTACGAGATCCGATCGTTGCTAGAGCAAGGGACGTATTTTTTTAAGGGGGGGGGCAGCTTTGTTTTCCACCACGACTGTCGTGTCGCTTGTACGACTTACAGGCTGAGTCGAACACCCCTTATGATTCACTGTTACGCATTTACTTTGCTCAACGCCACATATTGTACCGGACTGTATTGTCTTGGCACCTGGGTAGTTTCTCCACATGATTGTGTCCAGTTACTTACTACTAGTCCGATTGGACGCCACGGGGATCTCGCAGAAACATCCTTTGTATAACTCGGCGTGTCGTGTGCTGTGCGCCAATCTGCGGAACGGAGGGAGGCGTCTGGATTTTAGATTAGACTAGACCTAAATTGCACGATGAACTATTACGAACGGTGAATGTTAAGAAAAAGTGGCTTTTTTTGCGCATCACAAGCGCATGTATTTATTTATTTATTTTGGGCTTCTTTCCGCGCGGTTTCGAACTATCCTTTTACGAGGTTGGGAGTACGGTTTGTGGGTGTTCGTGCAATGTGGATGCTGGGAGGCTGTTTGTGAAGTTAGGCGTCCAGAGTATTGAGGTCACATTGTAGCTGTACAACTATAAATCTTTTGGGGGGGGGGTTGGCTAATAATAGGTCAGGGTCACCGGTATTGGCGTATGGGGGAAAAGGAAATATGGGGCTTGGGAGAGCTGCGTTGGGTAATCGGTGAGGCTGGTGTCTCTGGTGTAAGGTGTCTGGGGCAAAGGTGGGCGAGATGATGTAATGAGATTAACGTGCTGCGTTGAAGGTATGAAGCAGAGTGAGGATTGTTGGTGTGAGTTTCTGTTTGCGAGCATGTGTATTATCTAATTGGCTAGAGAGGAATACTTATGATGAGCAAAAGTATTGAATCAGAATATAAATAAGAGAAATGTGTCTATGTTGCGTGAAATGCTTGGTTTGTACAATGAAGACGTCAAACCGTAGGTGGGTGGTTGCCTTGGAAATGTGTCCAGCGAAAGACTTATTGGCGATTGATACACAATGGGTCTGGTAGGAGAGGATGCATCCGTAGTTCCTGTCATTGATTTTGTACTCACTGCTTCTGATACGCTCTTCGCACTAGGGGATTTTTGCTGTTAACATGCGCACCAGTCTGCCATTACAATGCCTATGGCGCATTTTTTTCCTTGGGCGAACTCGAACATGTAAAAAGAAGGGTAGCGAGATGTTGTTGGTTCATGGAAGCATGGCTAGAAGTACCAAAATGAAACAACGAGTAGGATGGATGATGAAAGAGCAAAAAATAACGTACAAGCCCGACGTGGGGGTCGAACCCACAACCTTGAGATGTACTGAGTAATCGTGTCTGTTAGACCGTGAAAGACTAAGAGTCTCACGCTCTACCGATTGAGCTAGCCGGGCTATTGCTGTTTTCGATGGGGAAAAAATCAGAGATAGACTCGATATGTAGCGACGCAATGTGTGAAAGCGCATGCATAGCCAAAAAAGAAACCATGTGCGCTGTCAAGAGCAAGTATGCAGGGTACGGTGGGGTGGAGGAAAATTCTGGCCACGGGACGCGAAGATTGGCGCTAGCGGATGGCGAACCATGGGAGGGTTCGGCAGATTGTCATTGTAGGCGAGAGAGATGCCAAGCCAAGATTGAGATGAGATGTATCTGTGCATGTGACAAGTAGGACCGTCATGTAGGTTGCAGTAATAGTGAAGAGTTGCATGGCAGGAATAATACGCAGGTCCAGGCAGTGCTGAGGCTAAGTATGTACTTGGGTGGGCGTAGGTCAGGCGCGGTGAGGGCAAGCAAGTGAGATGTGGTCTCATGGGCCAATAGTGGATGCGTCCCTGGCGAGGTACGTACCGCTACCTATTTTAAGAGTCGCCAGCGCCACTAGGGTACCGTACCGTTACGAGATGGCGGACTGGACCAGCTCAACTTGGCAACATAGGCCCTGGTATAACAGTCTGTCAGTACACATGTCTCGAGTGGCAGCTTTGACGATGCCCAAATCAAGGCTTGACATTGCTGCGATACGGCGCGCTCGGGTCGTGGTTTTCGGCATGTCCACGAGGCCGCAGCACAGTGCATACGTGAGTTAAATTGGGATGCGCCCGCAGTGGACGAGGACGCAGGGCAGAGGGCGCAGCGACGAAGTTTATACTGGATTGGTTTCAATACCCATGGCGGGCCAACGTGCTTGGTGTCTCAAAGTCGGGTCATGGCCCTGCATTCCACGACGACAGACCCCGTACATATATTTATGTACATACATGCATGTTGGAGGATGACTAGCATTTGATTGACGACGACGACGAGGACAGTGTGTACTCTAGAATCGAGTAAGTAGGGATAGAGGGCTTGCTTGGCGCAACGTCAGTGTGCTCCACCTAATGTCTTTCCCAACGGCGGCGCCGCGTAATGGCCCTGGACAGGAGCAGGACGTCGAGGAGAAGACAGTCTCACACGTCCAGGTCGACTCGGCGCAATTTGGAGACTTGGTCGAGGGGGGGCGAGCAGTGTGTCATTCGCTCGGGGGTGGATACAGACATGTCGACACCAGGGGCGCGGCTGCAGCAGCTTGGCCAGAGTAGCAGGGAAGCAGTCGTATGTACGTACACTCTAGGCACTGCCTCGCTCCTCGCTGCTCGCTGCTCGCTCAGCACTCGGGGCCCGTGCCTACACATCTTTCGACGACGACACTCCTCGCACCCAGCCCACAGTCAGGCCAGACTCCTGCACACTGAACCCGTCATCCTGCTGCTGCTGCACTCCATAGCCCGCTGCCAGCTCCCTCTGTTGCGCGTCGCATCTGCCTTGCCATACCCGCCCTCTCGCTCACACACGCATTCTCTCCCACACACACTCCTGATACACGAACCGCCGGTCAACGCGGAGGTGCGACTACCACTGTACTATTTTCAGCGCCCACCTCTCCGCCCGTGGCCGCAATCACCACTCCCCCCCACGCACGCACCCACACACTCCTCTCCCCACGACACGGCGACAGACTGCAGCGGCTCTTCGATGCATTAGCAGAGCAAACGCGCTGAGCGGATCCAGGACGCCCAAGACGACAGACGGCCGCCATGGCCAGCAGGCCGCCAGGTGGACCGCCTCATAGCGACAACCTCATTGACTTTGACGACCACCGGCCCGCATACAATTCGGGCGCACCGCCCCCAACCGGCGACCACAACCTCCTGCACCGCTACGACATTGACGCCTCAGACGCCCCACCACAGGGCCGGCCCTCGGTCTCGTATGATGACTTTGTCGGCGGTGGCAGGTCTACCCAGGGTCTGCCGGGCGGGCCAGGCGCTCCTCCCGCAGGCTCACCCTACGTGGGCGGAGGAAGCAACCCCAGGGCCTACTCGCAGACCTCGGACCTGAACAACTACCAGCGCTACTCTGACGCCGACATCCCCCACGACGACGATGCCTCGGCACAGGGCTACTACGCCGCCGGGGGCGCATACGACCAGGCCTCGCCAGGCGTCACCCGCGGCGGCTCCAAGAATGCCCACAACAGGAACAGCATCCTCAGCCTCGGCGGCGGCCTGACGGGGCGTGTCAAGAACATGCTGGGCCGCGGCTCAGAGTACTCGGAGATGGACATGCCCTTGACCGAGAACGCCGCCCACCCACAGCAGCCCAGCGCAAACGAGCCCGCCAGCGCCTACGACGACGGTTCATCGTCCAAGAAGAAGAAAAAAGGCCCCAGCAACTTCAAGTTTGGCTTTGGCGGAGGCGCACCAGACCCCTCGACCCTTGGCCCCCGCATCATCCACCTCAACAACCCGCCCGCAAACTTGGCCAACAAGTATGTCGACAACCACATCTCGACGTCCAAGTACAACATTGTCACTTTCCTCCCCAAGTTTTTGTACGAGCAGTTTTCCAAATACGCCAATCTCTTCTTCTTATTTACCGCCATCCTCCAGCAGATTCCCGGCATCTCGCCCACCTCGCGATACACCACAATTGTCCCGCTCTGCATTGTTTTATTCGTATCCGCCGTCAAGGAATACATTGAAGACTACCGGCGGAAACAGTCGGATTCGGAACTCAACAACTCAAAGGCTCAGGTCCTCAAGGGTTCTACTTTTGTAGACACCAAGTGGGTCAATGTCGCCGTGGGAGACATTGTGCGCGTTGAATCCGAGCAGCCCTTCCCCACCGATCTCGTCCTCCTCGCCTCTTCCGAGCCCGAGGGTCTTTGCTACATCGAAACCGCCAACTTGGACGGCGAGACGAACCTCAAGATCAAGCAGGCTATTCCCGAGACTGCCGACTTTGTCAGTCCGGCAGAACTCGCAAGACTAGGCGGCAGAATCCGATCCGAGCAACCCAACAGCAGTCTCTACACTTATGAAGCCACCTTGACCATTGCCGCAGGCGGAGGAGAGAAGGAACTACCTTTGGCACCCGATCAGCTACTGCTGCGTGGCGCTACGCTGCGAAATACACCCTGGATCCATGGTGTGGTCGTTTTTACCGGACATGAAACGAAGCTCATGAGGAACGCTACGGCCACCCCTATCAAGACGACAGCCGTAGAGAGAATGGTCAACAAGCAAATTCTCATGCTGGTGATCATCCTCATCTGTCTCAGCATCATTAGTTCCATTGGCGATGTCATCATACAATCTACTCGGAGAGATAACCTCACCTACCTCTATCTCCCTGGTTTCAACGGTGCCAAGCAATTCTTCCGCGACCTACTGACCTACTGGGTCCTGTACTCCAACCTGGTACCCATCTCGCTCTTCGTAACAATCGAAATCGTAAAGTATTACACTGGAAGTCTGATCGACTCTGACCTCGACATCTACTATGAACCAACCGACACACCCGCCAAATGCCGAACTTCGTCCCTCGTCGAGGAACTCGGCCAGATCGAGTACATCTTTTCTGACAAGACAGGTACCTTGACATGTAACATGATGGAGTTTAAGCAGTCTACCATTGCCGGTATCCAGTATGCCGACGAGATTCCCGAAGACCGACGTGCGACGATTGAAGACGGGGTTGAGGTTGGAATTCACGACTTTAAGCAGCTCGAGCATAACCGACAATCGCATCGCAACAAGCACATAATCGACCAGTTCCTTACTCTTCTCGCGACATGTCATACCGTTATTCCCGAAATGAAGGGAGAAAAAGGCGCCATCAAGTACCAAGCTGCCTCTCCGGATGAGGGTGCTTTGGTCGAAGGCGCCGTGACTCTGGGTTACAGGTTCATTGCACGAAAACCGCGCGCTGTCATTATCGAGGTCGACGGCCGTCAACTGGAATACGAACTCTTGGCTGTCTGTGAATTCAACTCTACAAGAAAGAGAATGTCTACCATCTTCCGCACGCCCCAAGGCAAGATTGTATGCTTTACCAAGGGTGCCGATACTGTCATTTTGGAGAGACTTTCAAAGGACAACCCGTATGTAGAAGCGACCCTGACACATCTGGAAGAATACGCCTCCGAGGGTCTCCGCACCCTCTGTCTGGCCATGCGTGAGATTCCAGAGGACGAGTTCCAGGAATGGTGGTCGATTTTCAACACTGCGCAGACAACCGTCAGTGGCAACCGTGCCGAAGAGCTGGACAAGGCTGCCGAACTCATTGAACGCGACATGACTCTTCTGGGAGCAACTGCTATCGAGGACAAGCTGCAAGACGGTGTCCCAGACACTATTGCGACTCTGCAATCCGCCGGCATCAAGGTCTGGGTCCTGACTGGCGATCGCCAAGAGACTGCCATCAATATTGGTATGAGTTGCAAGCTGATTAGCGAGGACATGAGTCTTCTCATCATCAACGAGGAAAACAAGGAAGCCACACGAGACAACATCCGCAAAAAGTACCAAGCGATTACCAGCCAGAGTCAAGGCGGGGCTGAAATGGATGTCCTCGCTCTGGTCATTGACGGTAAATCACTTACGTACGCCCTTGAGCGCGATCTCGAAAAGGAATTCCTGGATCTCGCCGTCCGGTGCAAGGCTGTCATCTGTTGTCGTGTCTCTCCCCTCCAAAAGGCCCTTGTTGTCAAGCTCGTCAAGCGTCATCTCAAGTCGATTCTGTTGGCCATTGGTGATGGAGCCAATGACGTTTCCATGATCCAGGCTGCCCACGTTGGTGTTGGTATCAGTGGTGTCGAAGGTCTCCAGGCAGCTCGTAGTGCAGACATTGCCATTGGTCAATTCCGCTACCTACGCAAGCTCCTGCTCGTCCACGGTGCATGGAGTTACCAGCGTGTCAGCAAGGTCATTCTGTACTCTTTCTACAAGAACATTGCCATGTTCATGACACAGTTTTGGTACTCTTTCCAGAACGGCTTTTCCGGACAGATTATCTACGAGTCGTGGACGCTCACCTTTTACAACGTCTTCTTCACGGCAGCACCGCCTTTTGTGCTTGGTATTTTTGACCAGTTTGTGAGCGCGAGGTTGCTGGATCGATACCCACAACTCTACCGGCTTAGTCAGTCGGGTGTGTTCTTCAGGATGCATTCGTTCTGGTCCTGGGTCGGCAATGGCTTCTACCACTCGCTCATTCTCTATTTTGGCGCTCAGGCTTTCATCATCTGGGACTGGCCGCAGTGGGATGGCCGCAATGCAGGTCATTGGGTTTGGGGTACGGCAGCCTACACTGCTAATCTTGCAACTGTGCTACTTAAGGCTTCGCTCATCACCAACATCTGGACAAAGTACACTGTGCTGGCTATCCCAGGTTCGATGCTTCTCTGGTTCATCCTCATGCCCATCTACGCCATTGTAGCGCCCAAGGCCGGCATCTCGAACGAATATGTTGGTGTGATTGAGCGACTCTTCCCCGACCCGCGATTCTGGGCCATGCTGGTGGTACTACCGCCGCTTTGCTTGATCCGAGACTTTGCATGGAAGTACGCAAAGAGGATGTACTTTCCGCAGAGCTACCACCACGTTCAGGAAATTCAAAAATACAACATTCAGGATTATCGCCCACGGTACGTCGCTCTGGATCTGTGTAGTACAAACGACGAAAGGCTAATACGTGTGCAGAATGGAGCAGTTTCAAAAAGCCATCCGAAAGGTACGACAGGTACAGCGTATGCGCAAGCAGCGAGGGTATGCATTCTCGCAGACGGACGAGTCGCAGGCGAGGGTCCTACAAGCATACGATACGACACAACAGAGAGGAAGATATGGAGAGATGGCGAGTTCGCGGAAATAGGGTGGGTATTTGCAGCGAAAGGGGCACTTTGCTCTTTGGTGTTTGGTCTGGCGCATGACGGGCAAGGCGCGGAAGGAAAAAAACATGTACGACTGCGTCCCGAGTGGGCATGATGTGTTTAGTATGAATAGTGTATTGTTATCGATGGTGGCGTCGGCCAACCAAAGTTCACGTTTCTGTTGGTTGTGTCTGATGTTGGTGTGGGGTGAGCAGGTGCTATCTCTGCAATGTTATCTTGATGCCATGTCGACTGCAGGTTGAGCTGGACACCACGTGCACACGGAAAGTTGTTGTATCGGGCGCTTAATAAGGAACACGGTGTCCCGAAGGCCGTAAGGCGGAGTCTGCAGAGCTTGAGGCTTTAGTCGATTGGTACGTCAAGGCCGTGGTGCGAAACAATTATCCGGTGCCTCGTTACTAACAGGTATTTTATCCGCCTACCGCGCAGTGGCAGGGCCGCATTGTGGAGCAAGAGGGGCACATGCTACCCCACCACGCAAAACTCCCCTCGCTCTGATATGCTGCCGCGCCCGTTTTTTACCACCCATACCGGCCATGATACGCTGCTGTTTGAGCTTGACCAAGGCCCCTCGAGATGCCAGACTGTTGAGAGGAGCCGCTATTTATCCTGGCCGTTGTAGAATTTGCCGGGCACTTGGGAGAGAGAGAGAGCAAGAGACAGACGGCGAACCCGTCCAAAGTTACGCTTACACAAGACGACGTGTAGCTACCTGCCGCGCTGCTGAGTAGCCGTCATAAAGGCTACAGTGGTCCTGGCAGGGTTAAATGGCAAGCATACCGATGGCGAATGAGGACTCGACGAGGCAACGCAAAGGCATGGTTAACCCAGTCGTCCGGGTGAAGACGCAGGGTCATTTGGCCCAAACTAGCCTCTGACACGGCGTTATATAGACGGCAGGCTGTTTGTTGTGCCTGGGGGCAGAATGGTCTGAAGTTCCGTCTGCAAAATACACGTTTGATATCACGGAGCCATGATTGCTAGACCCATTTGCCGTGCCGGTAGTATTAATACCACGCGTTGCGCCGCTGCCTTTTCCACTGCTTCTACTCCTCGTCCCTTCACATCTCTTTCTTCTACTTCTTCTGCTTTGCTGTCGTCGTCGTCAATCAAGACTCGCTGCATTGCCCCTCGAGCGCATACCGTACCAGCTTTCAAGACTAGACTTGCCAGTCGCAGCTTTTTCGCTACAATGGCTTCAAACGTCCCTTTCGTCACCCTCAACGATGGCAACAAGATGCCCCAGGTCGGCTTTGGCCTGTGGAAGGTCGACAATGCCACTTGTGCCGATACTGTTTACAATGCCATCAAGGCTGGCTACAGGCTGTTTGACGGCGCATGCGGTACGTAAACTTGTGTTGGGCACTTCATTTTTTTTTCTCTGCTCTCTCTCTCTTCATCCTGTAACCCCACCATCTGGCAAATGGTCAGCAGAATCGGTGCCTGTTACCGCGAGACGCCCCGAATTACCGGTGGCTGCTGTACATGCTTGGCTCTGCACATCGGAATGTTAGCGTCGTCCATCGGAACGAAGCCCGAGCCTCCTCACGTGCTCATGCAGCCCATACTGACGACTCAATCTTGAACAGACTACGGCAACGAAGTCGAGTGCGGCCAGGGTGTTGCCCGCGCCATCAAGGAGGGCCTTGTAAAGCGTGAGGACCTCTTCATCGTCAGCAAGCTCTGGCAAACCTTCCACGACCGCGAGCAAGTCGAGCCCATCGTCCGCAAGCAACTTGCCGACTGGGGCGTCGACTACTTCGACCTCTACCTCATCCACTTCCCCGTCGCCCTCAAATACGTCGACCCCAAGGTCCGCTACCCACCTGGCTGGTACTACGATGGCGAGAGCAAGATCGAGCACAGCAACGCCAGCCTACAAAGCACATGGGAAGCCTTTGAGGACATCAAGAGCAAGGGCCTCGCAAAGAGCATTGGTGTAAGCAACTACAGCGGTGCCCTCCTCCTCGACCTCTTCACCTACGCCAAGGTCAAGCCCGCTACCCTTCAGATCGAACACCACCCTTACTACGTCCAACCCTACCTCATTGAGCTCGCCCGCCAGCACGACATCAAGGTCACCGCCTACTCGTCGTTCGGCCCCCAGAGCTTCCTCGAGTGCGACATGAAGGTCGCTGCCGACACCCCTCTTCTTTTCGACCACCCCGTCATCAAGAAGATCGCAGAGGCTCACGGCAAGACTCCCGCCCAGGTTCTTCTCCGCTGGTCCACCCAGCGCGGTCTCAGCGTTATCCCCAAGTCCAACTCGCCAAACCGCCTGGCGCAAAACTTGGATGTTACCAGCTTTGATCTCAAGGACAGTGAGATTGAGGAGATTTCGGGTCTGGACAAGAACCTCAAGTTCAACGCTCCTACCAACGTACGTTTTATCATCGCCTTGGGAATTTATGTGAACGGTATTGGCTAACATGTTTTATAGTACGGTATCCCTTGCTACGTCTTTGCATAGACGGCGATGGTCATCGATCTCTTTTTTTGCTATTTTTTATGGAACGTTTTTACGAATTTATTCGATGCGCCGACATCGAAGGATGATGGGTATAAATATGGATCAGGTAGGATACCAAGTATATATCAACACAAATAAAAACAAGTGCTCAATCAATTGATGCAATGTCACTTCCCCTGACTAACGACAACTATTGACGTGATATGAAAACAGTAGCAAGATCTACACTAAACACAGCTGGCCGTGTACTTCTTCCTCTTCTGCCTTTTCTTCTTCTTTTTTATCAACGTCATTATCACATGTCCCACCCCCAACCGGCATCTGTTCGGCAAACTATACTAGCTGCAAGCAATAGCCGACTATTTTATATCTACACGTAACGAAAAAAAAAAGCCCAAAGCTTCGACCAATGACGCCACGACCGCTTCGTCTCCGAGGAAGATCGAAGCTAAGGCCATGGTAGCCGCAAACTTTACTTTAGGGCAATGGCATTTTGTCATTTCACCATAGTACCCTCATTGAAAAACTACGTGACGCCGGCTTCCCTTTTTGTGGGTATGGTACTACGGTTACATCGCGAGAGCCACGCACTTGGTACAGTACGAATAACGTGAAACTCACGTGTTCGCACCCAGTAAATCACACACGCTTTTTCTCGGAGCAAAACCACGCCGCTTATTTCCGTCCACCCTCCCCCCGCTCGAGACCCTTTTTTCGATACACGTGTGAGCAGCGTTGCAAGCGATGATGATGCGAGGCAAGGGGATAAACTAACCAACCCCATCATCCACCATCAACTGTCCCAAAAAAAAAGTTGTAGAAACTTTACCCTCCAGCAGTGGAAGGAACCCCAATTTCTCCGCTTTCCCATCCCAGTCCATCTACCTGACACACAAAGGAAAAATTATAATATCCAAATAATTCTACTAGACACAAAAAGTCGGGTATTTTGCTCTAATCCCAACACCCGATCATGCCCCCGCCCCTTCTCTCCCATATCCGACACCCGATCCCCC